ATTGAAGTGGGAATCTGTGTGTGATGACTCCCCAGAAGTTGTCATAATGGTCCTTCAGATGGTCACATGATAACAGCAGCTACCCACGTGTACACTCAACCTACTCACGTATACACTCAAGCTGCTTACATGTACAGTGAAGCTACTCACGTGTACCTTTAAGCTCTACTCGCACGTACACTCAAGTTGCTCACGTATACTCAAGCTACTCATGTGTACCGTCAATCTACACATTCTACTTAAATTCAACTTCATTAAGTTCATCTCCTTTACGTGGAAGAGAAAAAATAAACATTTAACACAAGGAACAAATTATTAGATCAGCACATTTTCATTTAACACAAAGACGAACATTTAACGGAAAGGTAAAATTATGAAATTAGCTTATTGTCTGAGAAGTTTATATTAAAGGCATGTATGCAAAATAGTACAACAATATTCTCACTCTTACGACTGGCCTTAAATAGATCATTGAACCCTCGAGACAAACAGATTCCAAACAGGGAACACTTGCCACATATAGAATGTAAACAATTGCTCTGTACAACAAAAACTGTCGCAAGCACAGTGTTAGCGGAACTGGTTTCAATCTTAAGTTGTTTTTGCCTAGGACTGAGATCTGTTTCCAAAGGAGTTGTAAGGTCTCCATAAAGAGCGCTCCAAGGGACTAACTCTATGGGGTTCGCTTGAAATCCTGCATGAATGCCTAATAAAAAAAACTCATTCATAAATATAAGCCCAACACTGTCTTTTACATGGAATAAATAACGCAGCTTGCCATAGTGAATCGCGACACCTCAGACACGAACAATAATTAGAGAATAACCAACGAGGTACGAGTGATTACGGGAAATATGCCCGAGTTGAAATAATGTTCACAGTGCCGAGCCTTGGCGAGGCACTGAACATTATTTTAACGAGGGCATATTTCCCGTAATCACTCGTACCTCGTTGGTTATTCTATTTATTACCCATAATGTAATTTAAAAGGAAGAACCACGAAATAAAAACCACCCGGAGACAGGACTTGTGACCTTAAACAGCTGATTCGTATTCATGCGCGTATTAAACCTTACTTCGCCAGCGGTAATAACATAACTACGCTATGGAAATAGTACATCATAAAATCGCTTTAAAATACAACAAAATTATTATGCCTGGAATAATTAATTAACATTTGTTAATATGATAAAAATGATCTATTAAACAAATCATTGAACTTCATAAGAGCTAAACATTTATTCGATCAAGTCAGTGCGACGGAACATCGTTCATTCATGACAGACGTGTTTTCTAGTGACGGTGACGGTGTAGTGTTGAAACACACTCTGGCAAAAACCTGTCAATTTTTTGGAAAGTCAACGGTTAAAAGTTGGGAATTCTAAAAGACAACCATCCCACGAATACATCTAGAAAAAGTTTTCTGTCAAGAAACTCAACAAGTTTGAAGATAAAACAATATTTTGTTCTGTGGAAGGCGTGTTACACGCTCGTCTTAGTAGAGTACAGCAGTTCCAAGAAGGATAACTCTAGTCGGAATCCGAGTCTATGAAATGTGTCAATCTCTGCATCGACTACTGGCACCAACCTCTCAGATTGATTAGAAATGCATGGATATAAATGAGTCATCTTGAAGAAGAACATTTAGCACTGATTCCGGTAAGAAAGGAGCTGTTTTCTGATTCGATGGCATCGACGCCGTGTCCGACTCACTTGTTACACTTTCAGATAACATCTTTAGTCAGTTTCTTGCTGTTTCTATTTCCCCGAATTCAGTTTCAACAACAAACAGGGTTTGGGAATTCAAGGGCTGTAAAATTCTTATCACTCTCCTATTTGGTCACCGTCAACTTTAACTAGGTAAGTGACCTTGATCGGGGTTAGCCTTACGGCAGCCATGTTTGTTTACAAACAATGCAAACGATTGTTTTGGAGGGTTTCTTAAAGATTATATATAATTTAAAAAGACTACTATTTAATACGCAGTTTTATTCCAAAATAATAACGTCTAATAAAAAGAATATTCATATTCTTTAACCTTAATGTTTTCTTTTTTAGATCTCGGAATGTGTGATTACATTACATAATGTTAATTTATCAATGAATCGATGAAATTTTATGAATGAACGTGGTGTTTGAAAGTAGTTCCGGCATCCAATGAAAATGTACAAATATACGATCAACCAATCAACGTCGAGAATCACTAAATTGCACACTGTGCAAATATCAAAAAGATATTACACGCGATCTCCTCACCCGTATGGGTAATAACACATTATATTTACAGTGTTGCCCTGACATACGTTGGTACATCATGCACATTGAAATTATTTCTGTTGTAAATAAGAAATGGTGTTTGTCTCTTTACTTTCATAATTACGCACTTGTGCACTTGTCAGTGCGATGCGTTTAAAGACACATAATGTTAGCTTTTGTGTACTATGTGAGTATGGTTGGCAAAGTCTAGTTTGAGCAAGATGTCAGTTACATCGCTGCATATCAGCTTCCTTCACTGCATATAAGTTTACATCACTCTATATCACCTTATATCACTGTGAATCAGCTTACATTGCTGTATATCAGCGTATGCCACTGCATATCAGCTTGTATCAATGCACATCGGCTCATACAACTGTATGTCAGCTTATATCACTCTATGTCAGCTGATATCACTGTATGTAAGCTTATATCACTGCATGTAAGCTTATATCACTGTATATCAGCTTATATCACTGCATATCAACTTATATCCTTGTATGTCAGCTTTTTGCTACTGTATATAAGCTTATATCATTGTATGTCAGCTTATATCACTGTATGTCAGCTTATATCACTGTATGTCAGCTTATATCACTGTATGTTAGCTTATATCACTGCATGTCATAGTGAATCGCGACACCTCAGACACGAACAATAACACATTGTATTTACAGTGTTGCCCTGACATATGTTGGTAAATCATCCACATTGAAATTATTTCTGTTGTAGATAAGAAATGGTGTTTGCATCCTTGCTTTCATAATTACGCACTTGTGCACTTGTCAGTGCGATGCGTTTAAAGACACATAATGTTAGCTTTTGTGTACTGTGTGAGTAAGGTTGGCAAGTTCTAGTTTGAGCAAGATGTCAGTTACATCGCTGCATATCAGCTTATATCACTGCAAATCAGCTTACATCGCTGTATATCAGCTTATATCACTGCAAATCAGCTTACATCGCTGTATATCAGCGTATACCACTGCATATCAGCTTGTATCACTGCACATCAGCTTATACAACTGTATGCCAGCTTATATCACTGCATATCAGCTTATATCATTGTATGTCAGCTTATATCACTCTATGTCAGCTTATATCACAGAAATCAGCTTATATCATTGAATGTCATCTTATATCACTGTATGTCACCTTATATCACTGTGTGTCAGCTTATATCACTGTATGTCAGCTTATTTCACTGCAGATCAGCTTATATCACTGCATATCAACTTATGTCTCCCCATATCGGCTAATATCACTCTACATCAGCTTATGTCTCTGCCTGTAAGCTTATATGTCTGCATGTCAGCGAAGCGTATTACTAACCACACGAGTGTTACATATAAAATGGTTCATATTGTGACTTGAGCACCAAGCATGCACATTTCACTGGTAATAAGTAACAGATTAGTTGTTATTGGGGCGAATAGATTGCTGAAAGAATGACTAAGCTTTAAGCCCACAATGTGTTCTCTTTAAGTATAGGTTGAAACGTCCACACTCTTGTCACCATGACAACGGATAGTTATATAGCATAACATTAATTCTGTTGACAAAGTGCAAGCGGTCTCACGGTCACTTTCATCTAGTATAATTGAGAAGACCATCGCCACCGGAACATACCGTATAAACATTTTGACAGAAGAAAGATAGAAATGAGTCCAGGTTTCAGTATCTGACAGAGTATTTAATCTGTAATGATGTCCTGTTTCTACAGGGAAACAGGAAGGTATTCACCTCATCTATAAAGTATTTGCTTCGCTATTTCACATGAGTCAGATGAGGGTGAAAATCATACTTCCTGTCTGTTTGTTTCCTGTTAACGTTGCCTTTTCCCACAAAATGTTAAAATCATTTGCTTGTGACGAAGTGCTTTAGAGGAAGTTATCTTGGAATAAACGTATGTCCACAAACTCTAATGAATCAAGGGTGAAATGCGTGTAGAAAATAAACCTCGGTGCAGTGAGTTATACAAGACGAGGTCGTCCGCAACCTGTGAGTTTGGATAAGCAAGACGTGCACGACTAGGCTTTGCATGCACTCATGTGCTAATAGAAGGGAAGGATCCGCCCATATGTTTCTGGTATCATGACTGTTTCGGAGTGATTCATAACCACAGTCATATTGCACTAGTAGTATAGCTGAAATTGTAAATCGGGAGGACATTTTATGGAAGTTGAAAGGGTTTCTGCCGCATTCATTTACAAATAATAGTGAGCAATTGATTGGTAGTGGTTTCACTCCCCGTTAAAAGGGAACACTTCTGAAAGGCTTCCCCGGCACAGAAGTAAACGGAAGTTTGCATTTTAAGTTTCATCAGTAACATTGTAGAGCCTTGTGTAGCCAAATCGTCAAAAGTGCTGCCTTAGCTGTGACATTCTATGTCCTTGACGCTGGCTAGAATTCGTTTGTTGTAGTTCAAGTCCCGTATCTGCCCTGATTATGATCGTAGTTTGTGGGAAGCATACGCAGGCTTTATTTCCATATGACAATATTCCATTAGTTTCATACACTGAAGAGTACTTAGTGTCAGTTTGTGAGCTTAAACTTGATAAATATTTCCCTTTGAAATTCTATAAACTTGTGAGTGTTGAATACTGTTGGGTTATCGTTTGAAAGAAACTGTCAATATTTCCTGTCCATAATTTCACATTTGCTAATATGCTTCACTCACAGCCATCTTTTTACAATACCGAATTAAATCTTTATCCTAATGTGACCTCAAGAGTTTTCCGTTTCAGTTGTCAGAATTTGTGATCAGTACCACACTGCTATACCCGTCAATGATTCTGCAGTTGGTGTGTGTAACTATTACTTTTGTATCGATGTGTTGGTCTAGACGTCACGGAAAACAAAGAGACTGTCACAAGTCTAGATATTTGAGATGCACTGACTCCCCGGCACACTTTTGTATGCATGTTCGCGTCAAATATGGCAATGCATTTCATTATTCTAATTTGAAGTTCTCATAATTCCACAATGCCCTGGTTATTCGTTTCACACCCAGATAGCAACACATTTTATTTACATTAATTTATTTTTGAGGAATGAATTTTGAAAGAACTAGACAATCCAGTGACTGACATCATGAGCATCGATGTACGCATTTGGGATACGATAACATGTGTCACCCAAGTAAGCAAGCCTGACTACGCGATCTTGTTCGACTCCTCTTATTACAAGCATGAACTGCTGAAAAGCATTTCTAACTGATCTTAAGGGATACTACACACAACTTCAGTACATTGGATATTGTACTGTGTACATTGCCTCTTCCCTGTTGTCATACAAAATGTACTTGTGCTGTATGTTCAACTTTGGAGGACAAGAAAGGCAAATGAAGAAACCAGATACGTGCATTACCTTTGTTCAAACGACTATAACATGAGTGTTCAGGGTCAAATGTTGTTCGTTGACCCTCAGCGATCAGAAGACTTTGTACATAAATTTTGAAACATTATTTTATGTATGCAGACTACGTGAGTGGTAGGTGCTCCCGGTAGAGCAGGCCATGTGGTCCTCCCTGACGAACATCTGATGTCCCTTTCCACTATTGATTTCCCTTTGCTCCAGTGTAAACTTGGCGGATGAATAATCCACACCTGATGACTTGTTTCCGAAGCACACAACACATGTGGACGTACATTAAGTTAATTTTGAATCTTAGTAGAATTTGTGTTCCAATGTAAACAATAATTGTTTCAGCCTTGTATGGATGATCACATTGAGCTAAAAGTAATGCTTTGCAGTCTCTAGTATATATCAAACAAGATTTGAAATAAATCGCAACGCCCCTTTTGCTGTGTGTACTACAATTAGAAGCAAATGTAACGATCTATAATGAATTGATTAAAACATTCGTATCAAGACTTATTTCCGAGAGAACGGCTAGTGTGTGTGCTTTGTGCATCTTCATATTAGGGCTGCCCATGTCTTTTCAAACCGGATAAATTTCTTATACCAGGAAACAAAAACAAGTTTACTTAAACACCTCGGGTCAGAGACAGTTTCTGGTCCTTGTTTGTAAGAAATACAAGCTGTTTCTTGTCACCGTGGCGGCCTGCACATGCAGATCAAGGATTTTGAAACGATGTGTGCACTGATGATACTCACTTGACAGAGACGAAAGCAGTTCACATACACGACAAACGTTAATAAACATAGGGATGAATTTAACATGGAACATTAAAATATTGCTGACATGGAACACATATAGCGCTGAGAGTCCCTCTACCGGGTCTCAATATTATAAAAGAGAATCTCAAGATAATAATGGACAATAGCAGCAGCCGCTGCACGAATGCATGTGCGTGTGTCCGTGTGTGCGTGCGTGTGTGTGCATGAGTGAACATGCCTTTGTACGTGCGAGTATACATACGTGTGTTAGTTGACATACTAATATTTTGTGCTGAGGAGAATGTATGTGTATGTGTGAATGTGAGTTTGTTTTTGTGTGTATGTGTGCGTGCGTGCGTGCGTGTGTGTGCGTGCGTGTGTGTCTCTCTCTCTCTGTGTGTGTGTGTGTGTGTGTGTGTGTGTGTGTGTGTGTGTGTGTGTGTGCAGGTCGGTGGCTGCGAATAAACGATAGTGAATCAGTGGTTCTGATGACGGTTTTTCACAGGTTACGTGTGAGTGTGAATGCATGTTATTCCTTGTGAATGGAGTACTGGAGTGTGTGAGGTTCATCGTTATCCGAGTGAATGTAGGAGTGTGCGTGAGCACATACGCGCTCGTGTGTTTTTGCATGTGTGCATACGTACATTCTATTGTGAGGATCCGTTTCTAACAATCCCTAACTTAAAAGCCGACAGACCTAATCTTCCCTGTATTACGCGCTGTACGAGACTTTGTGGTGCACGGCTATAATGCAATGATTAGCGTTACCGTCGATGCTCAAGAATTCAAGTTTAATCACATATTACAGTTGTTCTAAAGTCTTCAGAAGCCCTATACAGTTTAATCTCATATATATATATATATATATATATATATATATATATATATATATATATATATATATTTCATGTCAGCACTGTTAACCTCATGTGAGATGTGAATAAAACAGCGTGAATATGGACGATACTGAAACACTTTCAGAGGGACGGATTTCATGTGTTTGATTCTGTTCTACTTGACGTGTCAGTTCATGTGGGGAGTCTGGTTCAATTGCCAGTTCAGTAGTTGTTAGGTTCACACAGGCTATGTTTGGGATTTCAAATTTAAAACGACTTTGTGTGTTCATAGTTGTTAAGAAGTTGGTTTGATTTCGACGTTCTACTATTAACATCATTTAAGCGGGTGTCCAGCGGTGGGGTAGCCTAGTGGTTAAAGCCTTCGCTCGTCACGCCGAAGATCCGGGTTGGATTCCTCATGGGTACAATGTGTGAAGCCCATTTTAGTGTCACCCATCGTGATATTACTAAAATATTGCCAAAAGTAGCGTAAAAGGTAACTCACTCACTCATTGGTGTGTCGGCACCATGTCGACACGCGTTGGCCTGACGTGGTGTCATAGGCCTGAAACATTTTTTCAGTCTCTCCAGCACAGAACGGTGGATAAATAATCAGTTGTTTGTTATTACTGACCAAATGTTTGTTTGTTTCTTTGCTTGTTTGTATTGCCGAACTCAGCAATATTAGAGGTATATGACGGTAAATAATCTAGTCTGGGCCACACTATCCAGTGATTGACACTATGAGCATCTATCTATGCAGTTGGGATACGAAGACATGTGTCAACCAAGTCCGAGAGCCTGACCGACCGATCCCGGTATTCGCCTCTTACGACAAGCATATGTTGCTATAGACGAATTTCTAACCCGAATCTTCACAGGTCTACTGACAAAACGCTCGGATATAGGATACAAGGGCAAGATTGGTAAACCTTTCTTTGTCACCTAGGAAACAAAAGTGTGCTGATTGTCACCAACATCATTATGATTTGCTCATTGAAGGAAAAGTTAGTTATTTATACCAGAGCTTAGTAAGGCGCTTTTTGTACAGCAGGTGCCCCATGCACAAACGGATGAATCCTTTTCCAATGAACAGGGGACTGCAGTGGTGTGTGACGGAGTGCACGTGGAGATCATGCCCTGCTATTTTAGGCAGTAAGCAAACACACAGTCTACTGGGACATGTTATAGAGTAACTGGTCACATCTGCATTTACATAACCTGGGGTATTTCACGATTGTTAGGTAGGAACCATGTATTGGACATCTCTTGGTATTTAATTCTAACCTAATGGATATTTTAATGCTAGTATGTGTTTGTCTTATCTGACCTGTCCAAATCAATCACCAAAGTAGTGTTTTCGTGTACATGAATTAATCTGCCACAATATTTATTCCCACTCTGATAAAAAAAACTTCCCGTTTCTGAAATATTACGTCCTTGTTTTTGTCAGTAGGGCTATTTCTGATGTTGTGTGTTATTTCCTTTCCCCTCTTACTGGACGTGTATTCAATCCACCTTTTTTTGATATTACAACAGTTACATACACGGTCTTGAAAACGACGTTTCCAGTTTACTGGGAGTTCATGTTAAGCTTTCAATACCTCTTGAAACATTTTGTAACTTTAATTTTATATGTTTCATTGTAATTAACAGTCTTGGCTCTGCACTTGACTCAGCAGGAAACTAAACGAAAATAAAATTAAAATGATAAAACAACTGCCCAAAGTGTCTCAAGATCTTATGTGAAAGTCAAACAAGGACACTGTCAGCGCATGCACATATTGATTCTTTCCAAATGCGTGATGTACAGCTACATGACTGTGGCACTCAAAGCAGCAGAACTCCTGACTCGTGAAATGTGCCGATATGTTACACACGACAGTGTAGCCTGATTTGAATTTTTATGCATTATGAAGTCCAAATTGAGATTAATTTCCCTATTTTGTTTTCGCATCTCATCAATTTCATTTATGAGCAGGTTGCTAGCAGCTGCTATGTTTCGACACAAGATTCAATGTCCGCATTGCATTTTAGTTGAACGATATGTCATTATAATGATGAATATAACATGTGAGTGATGAGTTTTGGTGATCCATTCATTACATGCTTCTTAGTGTTCACGGGAAGGATTCAGCTTCATTTGAAAAACTGTAATGCTTTTCTGCCTGAGGTAGTGTTAATATACATGAACATGTCAGGAAGAGAGAATATTGATGATCCCAATAGGTGCGGAGGACAAAGCCCAGTTGTTGACCTGACGTCATCACTGACTGAACAGTTAATGACTTAGCTATTTGCTTGTTGTGTAAGCTGACTGAGGACGATAGTGTATTAGATGGGTACACGGCAGGTTAAGTAGTAACAAAATCACATAAGCGTTTCACGTTTGGGTCAGTTTACAACTATGAATACACAATATATCAAATGTGATATATATTGTATTTTGGATTACTCGTCCTCGATAAAGTACAGAATGCTGATACTTTCTGTTAATTTGGATTCCATTCGGGATTCGAACCCACACTCTCACACCCACATCAGATCTTCAGCACACAAAGTCAGCAATCTAGACCACTCAGCCATCCTTCTTCCACTACAAAGGAGGTCTGGCAACTGGTAGTCTACATCACGTTCAGTGTACTCCACTGACAAGTGTAAATAGGGACGACTAGCTCGGCCAAAGGCTATGGAGATACAGTGTCATTTAGACAGTGGTTTCTACTGACAAGCGTAAATGCGAATGGAACTCCACTTTAACAAAAAGTACTAGAACTGCGAACTTAATTGAAAGAGTGTTATCCAAAATAAAACACGGCTTTTGAACATTCCCCATCTATTCGTCTTCAGAATCTGTGTGAAGCATAGTACTCGAATGTCTCAAACACTGATTTGGAGACGGAAATGTTTCTTTTTTTTATATGTTAATTTGGCTTTTTAAAGGCTCATCCACGCAATTCATTTCACAGAGACGACGGTATGGGGCATTGGAGATGGTGTACTTGGATTGGGTACATACATCTGCTGATTCTAGTTGGAGGTACGCAAGGTTAGTTTCAATAAGAGGACCATTTTCGAATTAACAATCACTATATTTGATGTGTGGTGATAAAGACTTGAATGATATTGCGTCGAATATTTTTCTCAATATGGCAACGTGCCATGCCATATGTTATCGCATTCTAAAAACGTGCACATTTAGAAATAACCGGTTTCAACGATGCCTCAGTCTGTCAATGTACATATACCAAGCCTTGTAATGTAATATAGTGTAGACAATAGCATGGATGGGTTGGTGGTCATCGTATTGCGGTCTATGGTTTGTAATCCTAGATTCACCTCTGGTATGCACGGACTTTGTTTGTGATCATGCGTGTGACTAGTAAACGTCCAATTGGTTCCCTGAGATAAAAAGCAAAACCGTTGTAAACGGGGTGAAATGAAATCAGAGTGTTACATGTCAGAATGTTTAACAATATCTGACTTAAGTCAGGAATGCACAATGCCATTTAGAAAGTGGTCAAATGTAACAAATTTTATATTTGGGATTACACTTTCTTAGATATTCTAGTACTTTTGTTGAGTTAAGTCCCATCCAAGATTCGAACCCACATCCTCAGAGTCAGGCCCTAATCGCCAGCACACATAGTCAGGCGCCTAACCTGCTCAGCCACTGCGGCTTCCACAAAAATGGAAGTCGGACAAAAACAGATCACTATTGCCATTTTCATTGACTTTAGTAAGGCATTTGACATGGTTTGGCACAACGGTCTACTACAAAAGCTCCAAAAAAATGCCATACACGGCAGAATTTTAAATTTCATTCACTCCTTCCTAAACAATAGATTCATAAACCTCAAATCTCTCAACACCCTTACGGACCCCCATCCCCTAGAAAATGGGACCCCCCAGGGCAGCATATTATCTCCAATACTTTTTAACTTCATGATTAATGATATATTCCCAGAAAAATGGCCGGAAATTTCCGAAGCTAAATTTGCAGACGATATCTCCTTCTGGACCTCTTCCACCTCTATTAAACAAGTCTCTATTAAATGTCAAAGAATGCTTAACCACATTCAAAATTGGGCCCAACAATGGGGGTTCCTCATAAATGTGAAAAAAAACCGTGGGCATACTTTTCAAAACTCAACGAATGCAAAATTACACACCCAAACTGCACTTAAATAATCAAAAAATTGAATTAAGAAAGGAAGCCAAATTCTTACGAGTAACTTTCGACCAACATATGACATGGACACCCCACATTCATCACTTGGTCAACTCTTGTCAAAAAGATCTCAACTTAATGAGAGCCATAAGCGGCACAAACTGGGGTGCCGACAAACACACACTTATCAACATATACAAAACGCTTATACTGCCTGAGTTGGATTACGCCGCCCCGGTCCCCCACTCCCTCTCCCCCTCCAACCTCCAAAAATTTAATCTATACAATATGAAGCCCTAAAATTAGCCCTAGGCACCGTGAGTGGTACCTCCCTAAACACACTCCTTCTACTCTCAGGCACCACTTCAATCACACAAAGAATCAACCAAACAGCAATCACTTACTGGGCTGGGGCCAAGCACAATCAACTATTTAAACTCGTTACACACAAATACAACAACATAAAGAAATCAACACTTAAAAAATTCAAACTCAACCCTTTAAGAGCCTCATGCATCACCAACCTCTACAAACTGGTACACTCACAACAACTAAACGACATACAACATACACCTCCCATTACAAGCTACATTCACGACAAACCCCCACCCATCACAGACACTAACCTAGATAACATCCTCCATCAGCTACCAAAAGACAACAACAAATCCACTATAACAAACATCACAAACAACTACATCAACAACAGCTACCCCACCCACACTCATATATACACAGATGCTTCAATCAACCAAAACAAAACCACTGGTATAGGCATTCATGTCCAACGAAAAAACCCTTTTACAACCAACCTCCAATATACAAACCACACCACAATACATACTGCAGAATTCATAGCTATTCTCACTGCACTGCACTTATTCCCCACTCTCCCCAGACTAACTTTCTCATTCTCTCCGACTCACTCAACTCCATTAGGCAAATACAAAACAAGCATTCCAAATCGACTCCAGACCTTATCCACAATATTATTATCCAAACCGACTCACTTAAACGATCAAACAAAAATATAACATTCAACTGGATTCCAAGCCATTCAAACCTACCTGGAAATGACACAGCTGATACTGCAGCCAAACTAGCAACAACCCACACATCACCAAACATAAACTTTCACACATCCAAGACAGGAATTGAGCAACTCATCAAATCAAACATACTACATACCAACTTCCATCACAACATCAACACAAACAAATCAACATGGGTCACATCAATAATAAAATCACGATTAAGGAAAATCCCTGCATACTCTAACATTAAAAACAGTGACACGGCTATAAACAGACTCAATCACAGGCATCACTAACCTAAACCACACACTTATAAACAAAACAGACATACAGATGGCTTATGTACACACTGCAATACTCAAGAAGACATAAACCACATACTCATTCACTGCAAACTACAACAAGCAAATATCAAGCAACTACACAACAGCATTCCCCCTAAATATCACAACAATATCCCACTACTCCTAAATCCCCCATCATTTTCAACGCCATAGCAGCTTACCTTCAAAACTCAAACGTATTGCAAAGGATCTAGAACCTCTCATATAAACTACATACACCGCTCTCATCTTCAACCTACTGTTACATTTACACTAGGCGTTCAACCCTCTGTTATCCATTCTATGTCTCAAGTATAACCAATAAGCCCACACTTTCAGTCCCGCCGCTCAAACTCAGTTATCCATACCCTGCACACGCCACGCTAGCTCTCCCCTCTCGCTAATGTAAACAACCTGTCGCAAGCCCTCACTGACAAGGTCAAGGCCATTCAACACAGCGGTTCACTGCCAGCGCTCGCCTTTCAGCTTCGGCCCCTGCCCACCGCCTTCTACGCTCCTCCCTCGCCCCCTCCCCACATCCACCCCAGCTTAACCACTTTTTCCTTCTTTATACAGACCCATTATTAAACTAATGCAGCTTAACTGCATCTACATTCTATGCCCCACTATGCTATACGTGTTTACAACTTACCCCCTACCCTCCTTCACATCCTAGGCTAGGCCCCCTTTACACTATCTGTAGTTTAATTTAATTTACCTATTAACAATCATTACCCCTTTTGATTTCTCTTTTCCCTTCATAAACTCGTTTTTTTAGTATTTTATTTCGTTTATCTGTTTATAAACGTTTTTATTCAAAATTCCACTTAGGTTAACGCCCCATCATTTACATTTGTTTGGGTACAGTGGTTTGTTCCTTATTATAAACTTATTAATTATTATCTTATATCCCACCTACCCCGTCGGCGACATTGGCTACAGTCAGAAGCCGACGTTAAAACTCAAACCATCATCATCATGGTGGGGTTGAAGGGTTGGAATGTCTTCGAAGAAGTTTCCTAATCATGTAGTCTGATCGGTTAGTTTCTAGGATGTGGATGTTGTCCCAACGTTGGGGATGAGTTGCTGGTCTTATAAAATGCCTCTCAAAGAAGTGCAATGTAGGATGTTGATTAATATCCACCTTCGACTGACAACATCCAAATACTAAAGAATAATGCAAAGCAAGTTCAGGAGTGTCAAGCTCCTATTTAACAATATAACTGTGCATGTGTAATGGACAACCAAGATGTGTTTGTCCACGACACCTATTACGTCATAGCTGAACTCACAATTTGTTATAACAGATTTCCAACAGCCATACATCGCTGCACCAGACACAGCTCACGTGGACAGGAGTGTGACGTTGCCCTGCTACAGTGTCTGCAAGTATAATTTGGTAAAGGCGTCCATTAACTGGAGGAAGAACGGTTTGCCGCAAGACGAAAGCTCTGAATACAGCATATCACAGAGTCATCATCAGTGGCCGTTATGGCCTGGCATATATATCTACAGAAGTGCCCTCACTGACAATGACGTGAACACAGCGAAGGGAGATAACTTCCAGTGTCAGGTTGTAATAGATCGGAGAGCGGTGACAGGATGGAGTGAAGCATATGTACTGGTTAAACAATGTAAGTGAATGATATTGAAATATGGACATACGAAGTATTAAAACATGTATTTGGCGTATCAGTTATAACATGGATATGGCAATTAAATAATTATGATAAAACCGCCAATTCACAAGGAAGTGACCTGAATTGTTCTCTCCTGTACTGTAACCACAAGGAGGAAAATGTTGAGCTGCCCTGAAATAGTTTGTTATTCATTGATAATTGAAAAGTATGACGAATGTGTAACATTGTACCGATGCACAACATACAGACATCTCCCTTTTTCACGGGAGCAAGGCAATGTAGATGTATATGGGATACTTGTGTCTTTTCAGCTGGGTCTTATGAAAACTACACAGTAGTTCGTGAAGGACACAGTTGTTTGATTACTTTGAAGATGCCGTTGAATGAGGATTTCAAAGTGATGGGCCCTGGAAATAAAACAATCTTTAAAGTAAACACTCGTGGGGTACACTCTGATTGGGTCTACATCTTGAATTCCTACCGAACGAGAGTCAATATAACGAAGATAACAAGGTCAGCTGACTCAGTCATCCTCCAGTTCTGGCTACACAATGCAACATCAGAGGATGCGGGAAGATACCACTGTTCCACATGGACTGATGGCCCCATTCCCAATTGTCAGCACATGTTGTATGTACAAGGTAGGTACACTAGTTCAAAACCATCACCAGTGGCGTATATTTCTGTGATATAACATGTTGACAGTTTCAGTGTCATCTCAATAATATAGTATCGGAGGTCTTGTTGATAATCTCTGTGCTTCTGTACAGCAGTCGTTATTGGAGGTTGTCTGACAGGACATTCCTGTCCATCATTTACTTGATTGTCTGGTTTACAGGCTGCCGTGTCATGGCTATAGTATTGGTGTCAAGCAAACATAGATCCAGTTTAGGCATATCTTATGTATGACGGCTGCTACCGGAAGGGCAGGACATGCTTACACTTCTTTGTGAACACCTGGTGTCATCACTGATTTTCAGAGGTTCGTTGATACAACTTTTGGAGCTACTTTTCCCTACACTAACTGAATGTCTTTTTGACACGCTTTTAATTGTCGTTTCGTGTTTTAGCCGTATAGAAACAAAATTCTGTGGCATTTTTGTAATTAATCCTTTAACTTGTCCAAACAATAACCCAACAATAACTCCAGAAACCGAGTTTTTTTCGTTGAAATACGTGAGTGCTTTTAAAAAGTCTGTAAAAAGGATAACAATCATTATTGTAACATCACTAAATAGACCTGGATAAATTCCAGGCATACATTTCTTTACTGTCATTTCCCTTGTTAAATGCCACCCCTGTTATCTCATCATTCATGCCGGGAATAACAATCCCTGGCTTACATTTTGTCAATCCACCCTACCAATTTAGCAATAATTAACACCTGGCTTCCCTTGTTATCTTATCACTGTTGTTTCAAATGTACGTATATAGCTTTCTGTTTCCTAGTTTCTTCATTCACCTGATGAAGGAATAGGAATATACTCCGTAACATCGTGTTCCACAAATACAGAAGGTGACATCTATAAGTTCCTTTAGGTATTTTACGAGTAATGTTTTTTCTTGGGTTAAAGCTACATATTTGCCTACTCCCCATGTTACCCGTGAAGATCCGGGTTAGATTGGTCTTCAGCAACTCGTGCTTGTCGTAAAAGGTGACTAACGGGATCGGGTGGTCAGGCTCGCTGACTTGGTTGACACATGTCATCGTAACCCAACTGCGTCGATCGGTGTTCATGATGTTGATCACTGGCTTGTCTGGTCCAGACTCGATTATTTACAGACTGCCGTCATATAGCTGGTCCAGTGCCGAGTGCGACGTTAAACAATAAAATCAAACAAACTCCCCATGTGATTTAACGTTGCCAAAATTCTATATTGTATTCTCTTTCGACGTCGAGCTTTATTGTATCAGTGATGGAATTTATACACCCTGTGCCTTTCATCTGGTCTTTTTATATCTGAATATTTCAAACATATATATTTCTACTATTATGTGAAAAAGGAATTGTTCTAAATGTATGTGCCATAGTCTCCCATACGTCTACAAGAATGGCTTGTGCACATACGTATATGTCTGTCTGTCTCCCATATCCCAACTATCGACTTGAAACAGTGCCACAATTCATCAACTGACGTGGAACGTGTTTTTAACAAAAACGTAATAAAATTATTACTTGGGGAATAAAGCAGTATATCATAAAACACCTGTATAAATTTTGCTTAGATGGGGAGTAAGTTGGATGTAAGAGGGTTGGAAAGTTGATTGTGTATAAGTTCAACCAAGTAAGTAGTGTAAAGTATTTTGTGACTTATTGTGCAGAACAGTTGAACTGTTTCTGATAAGCTAATAAGGAGTCTAGTAAATAGATGAAAAGGGGTTAAATGTTAAAAAGTAAGGCTGGGGAGGCAGGGTACGGTTTTCATGTTTTGGTTTTGAAACGTGCAGTGTGTGACCTTGGCATTGTGAGTTAGTCTGGATAATCGAGCATACACTGTAATGTTTGGCTTGATAGGGATGTTTTAAAGTGTTTATTCTGAATTTGAGGGTGCTTTTTAGTTTGGTGTTTTGTCAGGTAGTTTAGAGTAATTTGGTTTCTTCTAGTAACTGCTAAATAGTAGGTACTAGTCTTTGCGCCAAGACGGATTTTTTGTGTTTTGTTTTTGGGTGGGGGGTGGTTGGGGTCGGCTTTATATTGTTATATTGTAAGGATTTTAGTTTATCATAATTGGTAGGGGATAGAGAAGGACGGGAGCGACACAGTGTGAACATGATAAATGTGTTGTAGATGTGTAGGAGGGCTTATTTGTCACATCCCAGAGAATGTCACCTATTGCTCTCATTCGATTTGAATCGTTTTGACATGAGTTGACCAAGTTATAAACAAGATAATACAGGTAGATAGTTCCATATGTTGAACGAGTTTCAAGTCCTCCTCTGGTAACGAAAATGTTACGAAAGGTTAATTGGATACACACGTCACCAATCAGCTTATCAAAACCTATGCGACCACTTCCAGCTGTAGCCTTTTACTTTACTTTTATTCTCAATAGACCACCAATGGTGGTATAAGAGTACATATCACACACATCAATTATTACATACAGTCAAAATGGCGGCAGAGTATAACAATATATTGTAGAAAATCTGCTGTAGAGACGACACATGTCACTTGATCTGCCAAACATGGCGAATTAAGGTGATACTCCAGTTGTTGTATTTGGACATGAGTTATGAGCCAACACGATTTCGGGTAACACTTTGTCCAAGTTCTTTTCACTGGCTGAAGCTTTCACCATAGATGATTTCAAAGTTCTATGTGCCCTTTCCACTGGATTTGTTTGAGGATGATCCATGAATCCTTGAATTCAGCGGACGTGAAAGTTGAACCATTATCAGTGTGTATTGTATGTGGCGGTCTAAAGATGGAAAGCAGTTTTTGAAGCGCATACATCGCTAACGCAGAGGTAGCTGATCGTACAGGAAAGGGCAAACACCATACGTGTCAGATCATCCAAACATGTCAACACGTACTAATAACTTTTCGATGACGTAGGAAGCGGTCCAACAAAGTCACAATGGGTTGTTTGCCATGGTGCTGAAGCTGTCCGAGTTACACAAATGGGACTCCGGGGCACAGCACGAGGGCCTTCTATACATGCTGAACACTGACTGACGTATTCTCGAACTTGTCTCTGTGTAATGGACTTGTCAGTCATAGTTGCTAAATTCCATGTACGTATTACAACAAAATGAGCAAAATCATGAGCACGCTTGATAACAGCATACTGTTTATCTTTTCATAAAGCACAGATAAAGCAATTCCTCTGAATCTTCCACGGGAAATCTTGACAGAATGTCACTTGGAATGTTATCTTTCACAGGTATATATTCCACATCAAATTGATCATCTGAAAGTTCTAAATACCATCTTGCGCATTTATCAGATTTGGATGACATAATAAATGTCAAAGGCCTGTGGTCTGTTTTGATTACAAACTTCCTACCATAAATATTCCAAACTTCCGTACTGCCAACATACGTGCCAAAGCTTCCCTATGTACAGTTGAATAATTCCATTCAGTTTTTGACAACTTTTTTGAAGTATAACAAATAGGATGATCATTCTGCAGAAGTACCCCTGCTAAACCCGTTTTACTGGCGTCAGTCTGAACAACAAATGCAGGAGCATTAGGACTACAGTCAGGATGTGATAACACTGGCGCCTTAGTGAGAACAGCCTTAACTCTGTCAAACGCACTCTGTTCACTTTCATGCCAAACATACGTACAAGATTCTACCATTCGACTGAGTGGCAACACAAGATCGGAAAAGTGTGGAATAAGTATAACTTGCTCCCATGTACAAGGATAATTCCGAACCGCCTCAATACCTTTTCTACCAGGACCAACTCCATCATAAGAAATTGAGAAACCAAGATATTTTATAGTATGCATAAACAAATGACATTTGGAAGGTTTTAAAGTCAAACCAACAGACGTCATTCGCTCAAACACCTCACACAACATTGACAAATGTTCATCGGCCGTGGACGAATGGACACACACATCGTCCAGATACACCAAAACGTGATCTTTCGACAACCCACTTAGAACAAGATGCATAGTAAGTTGGAATGCTAGAGGAGCAGTTTTTAAGCCAAAACACATACGCGAGAACTGCCAGATACCAGACGGAGTCTCAAATGCAGTCAAGGGCCTAGAAGTTTCATCCAAAACAATCTGATTATAAGCAGAGTTCATGTCAAGAATCTCATCATTGCCTTATTAGGAGTCATTAAAGGGAAACGTTCGTCAAGCAACTGATCACTCAAATTTCTCAGGTCCAAACAAAATCGTAAGCTTTTTTTAGCATTCTTCAGCAAAATAATTGGTGAAATGACGTTGATGTACTAGTTTCCACTATAGCTTGATCCACCATTTATTTAGTTTGTTCATCAACAATCTTATCTACATGAGGACCAAAACGCTTGCGGCGCTGCATAACCTTACTCAAATCTGCGTTTGGTTAAAGTGTAAGCTTGAATGTATGGCCATTCACCTTGCCCAAACCTGTAAACAGTGTATCTTTGTATACTCAGAGCAATGTTATCAACTTTTCACGGTGTAAATCATCCACTGGTCCTATGTTAAACTCAGGATCACTTAACTCCCTCTGTTTTGAAGTTGAAGGTGTATTTGAACACACAGATTCCTTACACTCTCGAGCTTCACCAAGAGTCTGACATCTGTACAACTTCTTACTCACTGGTTCTGGATTCATTACCAACGCACACAGATTCCCTGAACTAACAACAGACCTGGCTTCAAACAACCCTGTCTTGGTTTCAAATTCTCATTACGTTCCGACTAACAGACATCCACAACACTTTCTGACACCTTGGTGGTATAACGACAGATTCAGTCAAATGTACTGTAGCAACCCTGTCACAAGACTCGATTAAGTTACCCAGATTGACTTCATTATGTTTAGGTACCCGAGTAATGCTGTCAAATTTTGATAGGAGCTCACAGCCCAGCAGAACATTCTTAGTACTGTTTTCCAACACATGGAAAGTATACTCGTAGATACTACCAATAATACGGACACACGTATTAACTTTACCGATAGCATCTAATG